TCAAGTGAAATGCATGCTCAATCGGATTCAGGTCAGGTGATTGACTTGGCCATTGCATAACATTCCACTTCTTTCCCTTAAACTCTTTGGTTGCTTTTCCAGTATGCTTCGGGTCATTGGAGAGTGTTCTTGATCTGGCCAACTGTTGTGAAGGGTGTTTTCTTCACCAGGGAAAGAATTCTTCGGTCATCCACCACAGTTGTTTTCCGTGGTCTTCCGGGTCTTTTGGTGTTGCTGAGCTCACCGGTGCGTTCTTTATTTTTAAGGATGTTCCAAACAGTTGATTTGGCCACACCTAATGTTTTTGCTATCTCTCTGATGGGTTTGTTTTGTTTTTTCAGCCTAATGATGGCTTGCTTCAATTATAGTGACAGCTCTTTGGATCTCATATTGAGAGTTGACAGCAACAGATTCCAAATGCAAATAGCACACTTGAAATGAACTCTGGACCTTTTATCTGCTCCTTGTAAATGGGATAATGAGTGAATAACACACACCTGGCCATGGAACAGCTGAGCAGCCAATTGTCCCATTACTTTTGGTCCCTTGAAAAGTGGGAGGCACGTATACAAACTGTTGTAATTCCTACACCGTTCACCTGATTTGGATGTAAATACCTTCAAATTAAAGCTGAAAGTCTGCAGTTAAAGCACATCTTGTTCATTTCATTTCAAATCCATTGTGGTGGTGTATAGAGCCAAAAAGATTAGAATTGTGTCAATGTCCCAATATTTATGGACCTGACTATATATACCACATTAAGACAGAGAACCTCAACACAATGATTAATATTGATACAGTAAAACGAACAACAATACTATAAATGTTTTAATGAATTAAGAATGCAGTTACATCACATGTGATATTTGCATGCAATTATTTCTACACCAGAAGTATTTTGGATTGCCTGTAAAGAGACCTGTAAAATGAGAGCAACAGGCCAAAAATGTCAAACCTTTCAGATGGTACCCACCTTTAATTACTTAATTACTCTCTGTGGTTGTGGAACTGTTGGGGGCCTTGGTACAGGCAGTACTAATTAATCCACCTATATTTACACATATGCATGATTAGAATGACACTTGGGCAGCGTTGCTCGTGGAGGAGAAAACAATTGAAAAATATAATGCTGTATACACAGCTTTTTTCTTTGTGTCCCATTTTTATTTGATTATTGTGTAAATAGTGTTATTGAAGGCCCAGTGTCTACTACAAAAATAGAGAATTGACCATATTTCAATTAAAAAAAAAAATGGCATTTGAATATTTATCAAGTGACAATAATTTACTAAATTAACCTCCAAATGAATACACTTAGGAGGTATATATCCTCCTTAAGTCTAGGAGGGCTCTGATGGCATGGCTTTTCATATTCTTTCACACCATGGGTAGTGTTGTGAGGGTAAATAATACAGTGCAATGGGGACTTATAATAATTAATAATGGGGGTCCAACGATTCTCTCTACTTACAGGTAGGGTTGTCTCTTTACACAATATGTCACAGAGGAGAGGGTAATAAAAGATGGTGGGTACAGTGTCTGCTCACTCACACGCTCCTCCTTCCCACAGACAGTCGGATAATGGTGTTTCAGAAAAACCAGCTCATCTAAGGAGAGAACAATTGCACAGGTACTCTCCTGCTCACCCTTGCAGACATATTAAATATAATCATGGGCATCACATGGACCCCTTATTCACAAAGAGAGGACCTCCGGTTTCCTCCAATAACATGCTTGGAAATGCCCACTAAGAGAAAACCAAAAAACTAGATCTATATAAGGGTACTACAATAGTAGAATGGGGACTGGGTATCCTCTGCACTGTAGGGGTGGTAGGTTGAATCAAATCATATGCAAAGATGGAGGGATAAAACAATTCATATCTAGAATCTGGGCATTCCCTGACATAGGACATTAGGGTTGGGTGTGAGTTGGTTGTAATATTGGAAAATTATTTTATTTATTTTTAAAGCCAGGTAACTGCCCATGCTTGAGCATGGCATGTTTGTGTATAAATGGTCAATTAGATCATATTTTACACTCACTCAGCATTTGGTTGATCAGAAGCTCATCGTGCAGATCTTTAATGTATGAGAGGTCTTTTGGATCCTCATTATTAAACATTTTAAGCCTTATACCACTGTCCATGGGAAGGGGAGTCAGTGAATGAGTAATTGATGCTCCCTACATACTCTTTTATTAACCCTAACCCTTATATTATGAAGTAATAGGAGGGTCCTTGTAATTAATGGGGCTGGCAGCCACTAGAGGTGCTTCCTCACTGAAAACCTGTGACATCTGAAGGTCTTCACATTAAGAGTCATCATGCAAAGCATGATGATACCGCATGCCACTAATGCTCCTCAATGAGAAGCATCAAATTGCCAGGGAGTTACCGTTCAGGCACCATAGGTTCCCAACGCTTCTATGAAAAGTATTGGATAGAACCGAGATCATCAGAGTTGATGCTCTCAAAAGATGTGGAGCAGCTGATGGAATACAGGTTCATTTTTCATTATTTTTTTATTAGAATGGAGAGGAGGGATGAATACGAAATTGCAAAAGAAGGCATTTAGCTCAGACAAGAGAGCCGGACGTTCTCTCAGAAGTTGTGGAGGCAGGGAGCGGTTTCCTGTGAACCCCAGGTAAGAAGTCAAACCGTTCTAAAACAGTTTGGCTACTTTAATTGGGGGTGGGGGCAGAGCATTACCAGTACCGTAAACATTCTAGAATGAAATCTGAAATTCGTCCAGCACAGCAGCCATTCTAGGCTTCTGAATCTGTATTTGAGTGAACAGGTCCCCAATCTCTCCAGATGTTTCTTGTTGCGTTCCTTGCTGATTTGTTGGTTTTTTTTCCTAGCTTTTATTTGAAGTTGAAAATAAAGTGAATTAGCAGAAACAAAAATAATAAATTATAAGTGTATAAATCTCTCTAAAAGATAATGTGCTTAGCTTCCATTGTCAATGGCACTGCCCAGCTGTCACTCCAATCACTTATTTCCCAGGCTGTTTAACCTCATGGGTTTCTGAGGTCTAAAAAATAAAATGAATGGTAGAGATCCATACTGTTCTGTCCTGGAATCTGGGGCCTCCATCTTGACTCCGTGTCAATCATTGTTATAAAACGTGTTGTGTTTTTTTCTGTCATTGAACAAACAAAGTCAAGGAGGAGAAGAGAAACAGTATTTATTTATCTCTCTCAATACAACGTGTGCACTAGCTGTGCTGAAGTGGATTGTGACGTCAAAACCTCAGATGAAGCCTTGCACCCCGCCGCTCCATTGCAATTCTTCAATGTGACTTGTTTAGCGAAAATACATACCTCCCACGTGTCCCTATGTAAGAGACAGTCGATTATCAATCTATCTATTGTCTGTCTGTCTATCTAACAAAAAACATATTTATCTAACATCTATCAGTCTGTCTGTCTGTCTCTCTCTACTTACTGTCAATTTAACTCTAATAATGACACCTACACAGGGAATCTAAACAAGCTTTTTTTCCTTCTATTTTTCCAGTCTTTTACTGACTTTTCAATTGCTTTCAGGGTCATATACCTTTTCATGTTGCAGCACAATAGGGACTGTTACATTTATTCATTACTGGAAGCCAGTAACACGCGCAGTAACAAGTGAGTAAGTAGTTGCACAGTGTTCTATCTCTGAATGTTCATTGACAATACAGAGACCTTGACCAGAAACAAATAACGATCACAACAAGAGCTTCAGCAAAACAATTAGGGAACATTTACTGCTAACGTACAATCATCAAGGAATTTATGTTTACAATTTTGAAAATGTCCTCTTTGCAAGAACATAATAAAGTGAATGGAATAAATATAATCTCATATATTAAATAGATCTTGGCTGTGTAATATTCACTGGCAAAAAAAACTTTGTGTTTTATGTGTACGCAATGGAACACATTCCAATCTAAAACATTTTTTATTTTACCATCATCGCTATCAAGTCGTGATTGTTTTAAAAATTAGCGTCATGTTTAAGACATGGGATAAAGCTCAGCCTGGGAATTTGGGGGATTGCACGTTTTTTCCCCCTCTCTTTCTGGGTACGTCTTCTGCCTATCCATAGACCAGACAGCGAGCAAATATCTGCCTAGAGAATGTCCTATTCACTTAGGACGCAATGTGTCGTTGTAAAATGCTGGATGGGAATTATTGTAATCTTAAACAGAGAAACCTGATTTTCTGAGTCTGACAACGATTTTTATCCTGTTCGTCTTACTTATACCTGTTCTTTTTTTACATCATTCTAAAGTCTATAAAAATAGAGATTGTTAAACAACCAACTATATGGGATAAAAGTTGTAGAATATTGCATATTCTATGTTTCTATTAATTATATATGGATGTGTGGATTGACATAAGTAACAGATGGTCTAAGTCACATGGCTATCTTTGTCTGAAAGCTCTGGAATGTGGATTTGGGGGTTTTGTCCTTATATGGCTAGAGTTATGCTCTGACGTCAGTATGGGCACTTCTATATAGTAACTGAACAAAGAGACACGGGGTCTCTCATGGCTCTCTTTCCTGTACAAGATGTAACTCTCCCGTCAGAAGTCCAGCAATTACCATCTGCTGTTGAAATCCATTATCCTGTAACATCCTTTGTTGTTTTATTACATATCAGTAACTAAGAATAAACCTGAAGAAACCGTAAGTCAGATTGCGTATTAGTACTTTTCATTAATACAGACATATATTAATGTGGCGAGCAATTTTGGCCCAAGACTATATATACAAAAGACGTATATATATCAATCAACTGAAGAGAAGAAGAAATTTAGATTTAACGTTGACGATCCGATTCCAACCAGATTTTACATTGGCCAGCCAGCCAGTCTTCTATTCAAGTTTTGTTCCCACTTCAAGAGGGTAGAGAGAAGAATCAAGTTACAAAGCTGTTTTGGAACTGGGAAAACAAACTTGAAGAGAAAAAAAAGAATCTAGACTGTCAAAAAAGAACTGTGGTTTGTAAGAAAAAGAGTTTTCAAACTAGAAAGATTGTACAAGACTATTTTCTACAAAACAAAAAGCACAACATACAACGTGAATTCTGGAAGCAAGCAAGTGGCAGAGATTGGCAATCATCCAGATTCAATTCCAGAACTGCGCAGCTGTGTGGATGAAGCAACGAATTAGACAGAAATAACTGATCTGGTAAAGCGTGACAGATCCTCGTGGCAGTAAATTAGGAAAGAATTCCTTTAGACAACTGGACATCGACTGTTAGAAAGAGACTTTTCATCTGATCTGCAAACTGTGATGGAAGATTCTACTGAGTTAATTGGATACAGAAGATTAACAGACTTACAAAGAAATAAAAGATTGACACTAACATACATATCAATTCCTAAATAGTAACGAAGAAGAAAACAGAAAATGAAAAGTTATTTAACAGTTATGAGTGTATTAATACCAAAAGAGAGTACTTATAAATGTGTAACACATGGAGTAAAATTATGAAAGGATAGTATTATGAAGAGAACTATTACATGATGACCTATACATAGAATGAGAAGTATCAGAGGTAGATAAAATATGAAGTTGATAAAAAAAGGATCATGTATACTTAATTCTACAAAGATTGAGTGCAATAGTATTTTATAGATTCACTAGAATAAGTGTAATAAACGTTTAACTCGCAAGTTGGAATAAACTTGGAATTAATAATAACATTAATAACTAAAAATAATAACTTAAAATAATAACTTAAAAACCGAGTGTAAAGTCAGAGTCCACACTCCTTGCTTTCGGCAATTCAATAATATTTATTAATAAAGGCTAATCAAACAAATAAACAATACATATACATTTGAAATAGGCTAGTATATGTTGCTACCAAACCTAATTATTGATTGAATGGAAAGTAGGCTAAATTAACATAGTAAAACAGGCATAGACACGTGATACAGTTACCACTCCATCAATCAGCAGCTGAGAGTAAGAGAGAGAGGGTGTGTATAGTGGGGAGAGGGGAGAGAGGAGAGAGAAGGTGAAGAGAGGTAATTCAAAGAGAGAGAGAATGTGCTATTCACAGGGCTTTAAACAGGTTAGCCCCTCCTTCTGCTGGACACACCTCCCTTAGTCAATCCCTTAGGATGTAACAGAACCAGAGTGCCTCCAGGGGAAGGGGGATTGCATTGGAAGGGAATGGAGGAGGAGTTTATCAACAACCCAACTGATTTTGCCTGGTGAAAGGCCATGTGCTTCACAGAGGACTCCATTATTGCCTAAGGGTAGAATGGGGGTTTGAATCCCTGTATTAGAACACAATAACACTTCATTGGCATACAGTTTGGCTGTTAATCACATCTCCCCACTTATTACAATAAGTAATTTGTTTATATCGAGGTGAAGTAAAACAAACAATGGTAACATAACGAAGAAAACTAAGGAAGGATAATTTATATTGATTAATATTAAGTAATTATATACATTAAGAATGCCTTGGATATAAGAGTTCAGAGATCCAAGAGGAATTGAATTGAAGTTGAGTTAAGATTATAGTACACAATTATATTTGACCTAAGTCTATAAAGGTATGGACTAGGGAGAATAGGTTTCTGGATATGATGGTATCCAATGAATGAATATGTTGTTATAAGTTATTTTATGATTTCCCTGAGTTTGTTAGACACAGACTAGGAATAAGAGTTTCTGGGCAGTATGACCCCAAGTTTTGTTTATTTTATTTTATTTTAGTCAGTTGAAGTGTACTAAGGAATACGGATTGGTCAGAACATTAGGACAATCCTGCTTTTAAGATGTATTACATTAATAAGTCATCACAATGCTAATGAAAAGAGTGATGATAATGAATTTAAATTATTCTTTCCAAGTTATTTAAAAGTAAACTATGTTTCTATTGAATGAAAAGTTTGTTACTACAAGGTGGAATTTTAGTGAAAATTATAATTATGTAAACAAAAACAAATCTATGATAGAAAGATTTCTGGGTGGAGAATTTCTAGAACAATAAGTATTGTCAACAACATGAACATTATTTGAAGAATTATTATAAAACTTCATGGTTGATAACAACACAACCTTTGAAGGTTTGCAAACTATTATGAGTCTTATAAGTAGTGTTGGTATATTTTAGGTAGTGAGAACCTACTGAATATACAAATTAAATACTCTAATTGTAAAGTACTGATACAATCATCACTACATGGTATTAATGGTATAGGGATGTAATTCATGAATACAAATGACCTAAAGATTTTAAGGTTGCTAGAAACCATATGATTCATGGAAATATAATTGGACGTATATTATAGTAATACATGTATTAGTACTTTAGTAATATCAGGTATTGAGAATGAAAATACTTTGTTATATGTGTCTGTATCAGGAATATGATAGTGATACACAGTTATTATTTAGAAAGTTATCATCTTGATTTTGTTATCTACAAAGATATGACTGTATCAGAGCAGGTAGATCTTTCTGATTGCCTTATTGTTTATTGGATCAACATTTGTAAATATTTTATTTTATTCATTTATTATTGTTATATATATGTATATATTATGTTCAAGTAGTTATGATGTAACATGGATATGGATATCAATACATAACTGAAACAGAGGGAGTTTGAAGTAAAGTAAGCAGTATGAAGGATAGAATCTTGACTTTCTAAGAACTCTCATGTAATAGAAAGTTGTGACTACATCTTGTTCTGTGTTCAATGACTGTGATACGAGTGATGTATGAATGGACAGGTTAGTTACATTGTGTTATGGTTTTAAGACAAACCATAAACAGAGGGAATGTAGAATATTGCATATTCTATGTTTCTATTGATTATATATGATGTGTGGATTGACATAAGTAACAGATGGTCTAAGTCACATGGCTTTCTTTGTCTGAGAGCTCTGGAATGTGGATTTGGGGGTTTTGTCCCTATATGGCTAGAGTTATAGTCTGACGTCAGTATGGGCACTTCTATATAGTAACTGAACAAAGAGACATGAGGTCTCTCTTGGCTCCTGGCTCTCTTTCCTGTACAAGATGTAACTCTCCCGTCAGAAGTCCAGCAATTACCATCTGCTGTTGAAATCCATTATCCTTTAACATCCGTTGTTGTTTTATTATTTATCAGTAACTAAGAATAAACCTGAAGAAACCGTAAGTCAGATTGCGTATTAGTACTTTTCATTAATATAGACATATATTAATGTGGCGAGCAAATTTGGCCCAAGACTATGTCTACAAAAGACGTATATATCAATCAACTGAAGAGAAGAAGAAATTAAGAAGATTTAACGTTGACGATCCGATTTTAACCAGATTTTACAAAAGTCTGCCATTTAAACATGGGATAAGAGACTGTATTATGTACATTTACGCAAACTTTGTGTTTTTCCATTTATCAGTGATATGTTTTAAAGATGAGTGGTATCACTTTTCAATTTCAGCAATATATTAGTCAGGGCTGTGACAGATTGTGACCTAACCTGTCATACAGCATCCTTACAGAGCTGGGAGAAGTGATATGACATCACATCCTCTCAGCACTGTCAACATGTGAACGCTAAGGTAGCCACGAGCTGTCACAGCACGCGCCATTGAAACTCTTAAACGTGACTTGATTAAGGGAAATACATACATCCCAAGTGTCCTTATTTAAGAGGGCGAGTCCCTATTTTGGGTCCAAATCCTCTGTTTCCATATTGTCCCTCTTTTCTAGGAACTCCATATTGTTGGTGTGTCTGAGTGTGCAACAGAGCTCCACAGCAATAATACTCCCAGTAATGTGTCTTTAAACTACAATAAATATGTTTAGAAATCAGTCTGTGTAAATAAGATGCATTGTTCTTATTCTACATTACATTTTAGTTTTATAAATTATTAGTAAGTCGCCTAAAATTTCTCAGAACAGCCCATCCGTGGCCAAACCCCCTCTCACATCCCTAAAATTAAAGTGTCCCTCTTTGTTTATTTGAAATGTTGTGAGGTATGCATTAGTGTAACAGCCACGAACCGGCTTGGCGGACGCATCAGCAGCTGTGTGGAGAGGAGGTATGTAATAAGGGGGAGGAAAATATTGACAGCCAAATGTATGTCGATGAGGTCAAGTGTTCTAATTTGGATGGCCCAAGCTACATTTTAGGGAACCATATCTACCTTCAGGCAATGTCCGTGTCTTAACCAGGTAAAACCAGTTAAGTTGTTGATAAATTGCACCCCCACTCCCTTCCAATGCAATTCACTTCCCCGAGGAGTCACTCTTCTATAATTTTATTTCAAGACAAGTTTTGAATTAACATCTAATAAAGCATCAAAAATTACATGATGTATTTTTATGATAAATTATACATTCATTGCTTAAGAAGATGTTAGCACTTTAAGTGAAACTGTCATAACATATTCAATATAAACATTACACATTGCGGTGCTGCCTTGAATTCCCACGTTGGCTGAAGCATGAATTCCGGCATAGACTTCACTTTTCTTGTCACATTTGTACTAACATGTTTGAGAAGCTACTAAACTTCCAGCTCCTATACCCCTTCAATGCAGTACACACCCAGAAATCTTCTCAAAATTCCACAAATTAAAGAAAATGGTTGAGCTGATTTCCTCTAGATAACGCTTCAAACAAGAGACACAACACACATAGGTTTAGAGAAGGTAGAGTTTTTGCAGAGGTAGGATTGACCCTAATTATTAACAGTTACATAATCCACAAATGGTTCTGATAGATGATGCTGTTTATTTATTTCACATGTGTATTTGTGTATATGCAGAAAACACCAACACAAAACATGCAAGCACACCCCTGCAAAAGCAAACATTATATACAAACACACTCCTGTATTAAAAACGCCCAGTTATATACAAACACCCATTCATTCACATACCAACACTACACAGAAATGTATACCTGCATTTACAAGCCAACACTGCATACAAACACACCACCACATTCCAATGGCAATAGTACATACAATTACACCATTACATGCACCCATATACTCTATAAAAAACATGCTTACATTCAAATGCACAAACATTGACCACAAAATGAAACATTGCAAAGATTGGCAAATGGTAGAGCTCCAGCTGGCATAGCATCGTGAGAGCTGTAGACAGATTGGGATCTACCTGGCCTTTTGGCCACCCTTCCGGTTCAGGAGAGCCCAAAAACATTTCTTGCACCAGGACCTTTGCTACATAATATCCAACACTGAGCAGGAGTGAGGCAGCTCTGTGACACATGGAATAGTTTTTTACCCAGAAAAACAGGAAATTCTGTATTTACTACTTTGACAGCAGTTATATCTTAAAGGGACACTATAATAACCAAAACCATAGCTTATGTAGTGGTTTTGGTACAAAGAGACTGTCCCTGCAGCCTCAGCAAAAAAGGCAGTGTTTACAATCCATACTAAGACCACCACCAGCTGCTGTCCCTTAGTGGCCATTGCAGTCCTTCTAGCTTTGCCAAGCATTGGTGTCGCTAGGGGGGGGCCAGAGGGGGCCATGGCCCCCCCTACATCATGCTGTGCCCCACCTTGGGCCCCCCCAAATGCCAGCAACATGTTCTACAGTGTGTTACAGCCCGGGGGAGGGAATGCAGGGCAGAGGAGCTCAGCTGGAACGGTGCTGGAGGCTGTCTGTGGCCGGAGAGAGCACTGACAGGCTCCCCAACACAGGCTCCGCACCCAAACGGAGCCCCGCCTCCTGCACATAAGCCCCGCTGCTGCCGTTAAGCAGCAGACCATGCTGCTGCTGGAAAGGCAAGAAGATAGCAACAGGTAGGCTTGATATGCTCAGGTGTGTGTGTGTGTCTACTAGTGAGGAAGCTTGTGTGTGTGTGTGTATGGACTCAGCAGTCTGTCTGTGTGTGCATGGACTCAGCAGTCTGTCTGTGTGTATGGACTCAGCAGTCTGTATGTGTGTATGGACTCAGCAGTGTGTGTGTGTATGGACTCAGCAGTCTGTGTATTTGTGTATGGACTCAGCAGTCTGTGTTTGTGTGTGTGTGTGTATGGACTCAGCAGTCTCTGTGTGTGTTTGGACTCAGCAGTCTCTGTGTGTGACTCAACAGTCTGTGTGTGTGTGTTTGGACTCAGCAGTGTGTGTGTATGGACTCAGCAATCTGTATGTGTGTATGAACTCAGCAGTGTGTGTGTATGGACTCAGCAGTCTGTCTGTGTGTATGAACTCAGCAGTGTGTGTGTATGGACTAAGCAGTCTGTATGTGTGTACGGACTCAGCACTGTGTGTGTTTGACTCAGCAGTCTGTATGTGTGTATGAACTCAGCAGTGTGTGTGTGGACTGTATGTGTGTATGGACTCAGCAGCCTGTGTGTATGGACTCAGCAGTCTGTGTTTGTGTGTGTGTGTGTATGTGTGTATGGACTCAGCAGTCTGTGTGTTTGTGTGTGTGTGGACTCAGCAGTCTGTGCGTGTGTGTGTGGAATCAGCAGTCTGTGCGTGTGTGTGTGTATGGACTTAGCAGTCTGTGTGTGTGTGTATATGGACTCAGCAGTCTATGTTTGTGTGGACTCAGCAGTCTGTGTCTGTGTTTGTAAGGACTCCGCAGTCTGTGTGTTTGTGTGTGTGTGTGGACTCAGCAGTCTGTGTTTGTGTTTGTATGGACTCAGCAGTCTGTGTCTGTGTTTGTATGGACTCAGCTGTCTCTGTGTGTGTAAGGACTCAGCAGTCTGTGTGTGTATGGACTCAGCAGTCTGTGTTTGTGTCTGTGTGTGTATGGACTCAGCACTCTTTGAGTGTGTGTGTGTATGGACTCAGAAGTCTGTGTGTGGACTCAGCAGTCTATGTGTCTGTGTTTGTATGGACTCAGCAGTCTGTGTGTGTGTGTGTGGGGTCAGCAGTCTGTGTGTCTCTTTGTGTAAGGACTCAGCAGTCTGTGTGTGTGTGTGTATGGACTGTATCAAGGGAAATGTGTTTGTTTTTTAATAATCCTTGGTGGAAAATAATGAATTCTCCACCAGGGATTATTAAAAAAACAAAACAAAAAAAACCATTGTGTCGGGGGCAGGGCTTAACATGCGGCGGTGGCGGGGTCAAACTGCGGTGAGGGCGGGGTTAAATGTGCCCCCCTACTTTAGTCCCTGGCCCACCATGTGCCCACCCTAAAAATGAATCCTAGAGACGCCACTGTTGCCAAGCACTCTCCATAGAGATGCATTGAGCCAATACATCCCTATGAGGAGATGCTGATTGACACGCTAGTCCCTCAATGCTTCCTTAAAGGGGAACATTGGATTTGCTGAGATTATCTGTAACAATCAGGACGGGAGGATCTGCACCGTGATGAGACTGGCATGCCAGGGGAAATAAAGTAAGTAAAACTCTTAACTTAAATATTTAAGGGAAGGCCCATATATGTAAATAGTTAGGTAAACATTCTAATGTTAGAAATACATGCTTGAATTCGAGTGTACCTTTAAAGGGACACTCCAGGCACCCAGACCACTTCTGCCCATTGAAGTGGTCTGGGTGCCAACTCCCATTACTCTTAACTCTGCAAGTGTAATTATTGCAGTTTTTAATAAACTGCAATAATTACCTTGCAGGGTTAACTCCACCTCTAGTGGCTGTCTACTAGACAGCCACTAGAGGACACTTCCTGGTGCCTGGTGCTAGAGCGTCGCTGGACGTCCTCGAGCTATGTGAGGACCTCCAGCGTCACTCATTTCCCCATAGGAAAGCATTGAATGTCTTTTCAATGCTTTCCTATGGGGAGCGCTAATGCGCATGCGCATTAGGTCTTCCCGGCCGGTGGGCTGGATCAGTCTCGCCCACAGGCCAACGCAATGCAGAGGAGGAGCGGCGGAGGAAAAAGCAGCGACGTGGGACATCGTCGCTGCCTCAGGTAAGTTACTGAAGGGGTACCCCTTCAGCAACCGGGGATTGGGGGTGGGAGGGAGAGGGAACCTGCAGTGCCAGGAAAACGGCACTGCCTCAGGTAGGTTGCTGAAGGGGTACCCCTTCAGTGCTCTAGGTGTCTGTAAACCCGTAAACCTGTAATGCCAGGTTGAACTCTCCCTCCCACCCCCAATCCCCAGTTGCTGAAGGGGTACCCCTTCAGCAACCGGGGATTGGGGGTGGGAGGGAGAGGGAACCTGCAAAACGGTTGCTGCCTCAGGTAAGTTACTGAAGGGGTACCCCTTCAGCAACCGGGGATTGGGGGTGGGAGGGAGAGTTCAACCTGGCATTACAGGTTTACGGGTTTACAGACACCTAGAGCACTTTAGCTTGCTGAAGTGCTTTGTTTAAAGAGTGTGTCCTCTGTGGCAAAACTAGCCACCTATTTGTATAGGAACTGAGTTGGTTCGACTATTTAAAGTTCCTGAACAAAATATGGACATATTGTTCGTCAGTCGAACTAACCACCGAACGGGGAGACCACCCAGAGGAGTCGTGTGCCTCCAATTGACTATTGTAACACCTTAAAACCGCAAGGTTCAAAATTGTCGGGTGGGTGGCCACCGTTCGTATGACTAAACATGTGTCTTTGGCCATCCATGCGCACGACCGCCCATCGGTGTTTGGTCGTCGAGTATTCGGAATTGAACGAATGAACACTAGGCGCACGAATACCCAATTCATGAACAATTGCATACGTAATTTTAATCGTGAAAACCCCCAATAGAAGACCGGTTAGAGCATACAACCGCATGGAACTGTTTTGGGGCTTTGCATCGTGCTTGACCGGTCTAAACTTCACTCGAATGGTGTTCCTGTTCTACCAAACGGATCTGAGCGGTATTTCGACAGATTGGGCACTCAGATCCCTGCTATTCGGTGAAGTGTCTTTCGTGGAGTCCTAATTAATATTATGATAGTTATGATGTTTTAAAATATTGTTTAATTTTCCGTACTTGGGAGATAATCTAATTAAAGAATTGTACTTAAACAATTATCTTCTAAGTACAGAAAAGGAGTCTGGGAAATGTGTCTTTGTTTCCTGTCCCCAACAAGGTTCACCATGGGAAAACCCCTGGACTGTAATTAAAGAAACCCCTTGCATGGCGAATAGCATAAAAGCTGTGTAGCGTCCAGTTGTTGGGGAATGGGATTTGGATTGCCACGCTACACTTCTCTTGAATGCTGATTAAGTCTACCAGCGGAGATATTGCAGTTAATACTTCTACTCCACTACATCCTCTTTTTTTTTTCCAGTTTACAAAAAGTGCAGATTTTAATAGAATTTGCCACTTTTTAGAATGAAACTTTTTACAGCTGACAGTCAATCAGACAACCGGTCCTGTTACTTCCTTGTTGTTTAGCTCAGTGGAGCTCAACTCAAAAGGTAGCAATTGCTCAGAGTACCTGCCTTTCAAAGACTTGTCATTGTGCTGCATTGGGAAGTCTGTGACTGGACAGCCACAGAAAGTCTGAGCGGAGTTAGAAGGGGAGGGCTTGCAAAGGTTGCAGACAAGATATCTGCAGCTTTTGCAAGCTGTCATTATATATGGCCCCATAATTAAATGCATGTATGTTTTATTTGTGGATATATGAACTAACCTGTGATTTTAATTTTGATCTTGACAATTCACACTTTGGAAGTGAAATTTAACGAGAGAACAATCTTTTTCTCACATTAATTCAACACTAACAAATCTGTGTTGCCTGTTCATCTATTGTGACCTGAAATTTGAAATTCACTTTAAACTCCAGACAATTATCACTGTAGCAAACTACCCTGCGAATGTATTCTTGGTAAAGCCACGTCAAATACAATATACACAAATATTACCTCATAATACATTTTCACTTTTTAATATAAAATGTTTATGCAAAGGAGCAAAACGATTCATTATTATGAGGGTTTATTCACTAAAAAATTGAATATGGTGAACTGAAAGTTGAATTTCAAACTGTAGGTCAGATAACTCAGTAGGAAAAATATCCTACATTTTTTCTCATTTTGGTCTAAGTTTCGAAATATTTTTTTTCAACTCACAATTCATTGTTTAGTGAAATACACTTTATGGGGTTTCGCGGTTGATACTTTGTCGCTAATCTTATGCTTCTTTCTGAATCCCATTTTTTGTGTGAATTATCTTGGTAGACAAATGCCATTTTTCACAAGACAAGTCAGGCTGTGCTACGCTGCTCTGCATTGTGACAAAGCACGAAGATCCTTTAAACTCGCTCCCCTGATCGTTCGCTGTCTGCCACTTCTTCAATTATGCTTTTCACACTCTGCTTTAGTCAGAAGCTCAAAGCTAACAGCTGAAACCTAGAATGAAGTATGATTTTCTTTCATTCTTCCCATCGCCAGATTGATAGTTTAATGTTAAAGAGGTCAGACTGAATTGGTCTGAGGGAAGGTCAGTGCTCATACAAAATAAAGCTGTCTCAGACATTTTATAGTCGGTGAAACTGAAAGAATGTTGGTTTTAATTACACCTCCTGCATACTGATAGGCTGTTAGAGAACCGGGGGAGAAGAGAATCTACTTGCTAGGCCAAAGGGACTCTCAGGTAGATTATGTAGCTGACTGGTACCATATGTTACCGAAAACTGACATTACAGCCTCCTGCGGAAAAAGATAAAAAAAAAAAACTAGCTATGTATGTGAAAGATAAAACAATCTTTTATTTGCAAAGCCCGCAAGATTCCAAAGAGAAAAGAACTGCACTCAATCTCCTCAAAGAATATATATTTATAATGGAACAACTTTTTATTGAATTGATTTATGAACCAATTTCCTATATATGTGGTGTTACTGACAAGACAAGCATTACTACAAAAGGTAATTGAAATTTCTGCTGGGCTGCAACGTGGGTTTGGTTCTTATTAACTCCTGCTGTATAGATAGCTGAATGAAATCTATGGAGATAAAACTGTACTTTCATAGGCTGATATGTACGGCGTTAGAACTACAACTACGATTAACTACAACTACGATTAACCGAATTATAGACATAAAAAAATGAATTTTGTTACAAACTTTCATGCACCTTCTGTTCCTGTACGTCCAACTTGTCTTGTTACAACTACTTGTTGGTTACTCCAACCATAGTACAGCGCTGAGGAATTTGTCAGTGCTTTTATAAATAATAGCAATAATAACAGAGTATTTGATATCCTAAAAGAAAACTCCAAGCACCATAACAACTACAGTTTGCTGTGGTGATTGTGTTACCAGGAGTACCCTGGCATCCCTCCCTCGTTGTCCGTACATAAACTATTTTAGAATGCGCTGCTCCCCACTTTAAATACTGACAACCGTGGGCTGGAAGCTCCTGAGGATGTGTGGGTTTTCTGGTCACAAACCATAGTTGCAAGTGCACTTCTATTCTGATTGGATGAAATGAGCCAGTTAGAATACAACTTTAAAATGCGTCATGCAAGTTTTTAAAAGTTTGGTTTTATATTTTGTAGCAAATGCCTTAGCCACACCTCCCTTGCATGTGATTTACACAGTCTCACTACACACTTCCTCCCCTGGCTGTAACTTAGTCTCACTACACACTTCCTCCCCTGCTTCTGACAGCTCAGGGCCATCTATAATATTGATTGCACCCTGGGCAAGCATTTGCTTGGGCCTCTGGACCCTGCCCCCTCACTCATTGGCACGCAATCACTCTCTTCACCCAAATCCAGAGGGCTTTGGTGCAAGACATTTTTTGGGCCCCCTGTAGCACAAGAGTGGCTAAAAGATAGATCCCATCTGTCATTCAACTCCCAAAATGCTATGCCAACCGGGGATCTACCATTTGGCCATCCTTGCAGGGTTCTATTTGTGTGGATGTTTGAGTTTGAATTCAGGAGTGTGTTTGTATGTAAGGTTGGCTTTTAAATAGGTGTGCTCTTGTGTGTAGAGTTGGTTTTTGTATATCATTTTAGCATTTTAATACAGGGCTGTATTTGTGTGCAATATTTGCATTTGCATGCAGAGGTGTTAGGATGTAGCGTTGCTTTTAAATGTGGACGTACATGTGTGTGTAGTATTGGTGTTTGAGTGAAGGGGTGTGTTTGTAAAATAAATTGGAATTTGAATTCAGGGGTGGGTTTGTATGAAATGTTTGTGTTTGCAGGGGTGTGCTTGAATGCTGTTGGGATGTATGCAAATACATACTTACACAGATATACATAAACATTAACACACAGAAACACATATAAACACACTGACACACGCACACACCTTGATACAGACACACACACCTTAACACACAGATAAACAACAAATAAAACCACACACTGACACATACACACATATACACTGGCATATACATACACTGACACACAGATAAACACACTGGGGCACACATACAGAGATACAAACACTGGCACATCCACACACACATATACGTACACTGACGCACAGATACACACAAAGCCAATCTGACATACACAGATACATACATGTTATAATTATTATATTTACAGCCACCCTCCGCTTAGTATAACTTTTGTGTCCAGGAGGGTGGCTTGTTTGGGGTCCTGGTGATGCTGGCTGATGCTGATGGGATTAAGTGTAAGGGTCTGCAGCAGTTCACAGCCTCCCTACACACTCTCCCTTCCTCCCCCCCCCCCACTCCTCCCTGTGCAATATAAAGGTTGTTAGGTGATCCTCTCTCATTGCTTTGAACCTAAATGGGATCTGCTCAAAGTGTTCTGTGCCTCTGCATGGCTTTGAATATTTCCAAAAGAAGAGAAAATAGATTGCAATATGTTGAGATTTATCTCTAAAATATTGAGTGTCAAAGACTTGCTCACCAAAGAACCTCTATAGTACCCTGCTCTGAGAGAATGTAGCTCTGTGTCAATATAGAGTGACACTGCCCTTCTTGAATCAAGGTGATAATACAGACAAAAGTGAGCTTACTGGATACATTTAACACAAAATAAATGTATTCATTAGAACAACAAATATAACCAAACATTATTAAAAAAAAAAAAAAAGAAGATTATGACACTCAATATTTCAGATAAATCTCAACATATTGCACTAGCTAGATACTCTGTTTGCTGTATGGATCACAGGAAACATCCAAGTGTGTTGGCTGCTATTTCTTACTCAACACTTGTGAAAGCGCCTATTAAAAACACTTAAAACATTTTCATTACCATTATCTTAATTATTTTATTTTTGCACAGTGCGCC